AATTTGATTTATAATTTATTATTGAAATTAAAAATTTATTAAAGATTTTACGTTTTCTATATAAAATTAAATTATGTATTTTATATATTTATGTAAGTTCTTTTTTGATATCGCAAATAAAAGATTTGGATATAATAATTTTTTATTATATTAAATATTTACTTTCTAAACCATATTTTCATTCAGATTTTGATCCGATTAACTTTGTCAGAAACCAGCAAAAAAGTTCGGCAATGTGATATCTCCAGGTTTCATTTGGGAAAGTTTATTATTAGGGGAGAAAATTATTGTCACATGTTTTCTATAAATAAAGCGTAATATGCTATTCTAAACAAACCTAAAATATATGAAATTAGAATATAGTTGAGCTTAATGAAAAATTTCTTTAAAATAAAAAAATTTATTACAAATTAATTATATAATCATTAAAATTAAATTTGCAAAAACTAACTCATTTACATAATCATAAACTTTATGATACGATATATAGTATTAATATTTTATTAATAATTATTGACAAATTTTACTTTTGATTTTATCGAATGTCAATAATTTATTCCTTAATTTGTGGATTTTACAGCTTTGGGCAATATTGGAAGTTTCAGAGCCTCAGAAACTAGAATCATCAGGTAAAACCTTTCAGTACTAACTTTGGACGAAGGGTTTAATTCAGCCCAAAACATTACATTAAATTACCCTAGAAAGGTAAATAGTTAGAGATTGACAAATTCAAAGATAAACTTATTAATTTGAAGAAAATATACATTTGTGACGAATATTATTGCATTAATAATCCATTTGGTCGTGCATTTATATTATCGTTACATTTGATCGGGATTCCATAATTGCTTAACCATTTACGTCTAATTAAACTGCAAATTTGCTAATTTCGTTATTAGTGGCAACACAACCCTCCGCACACGTTGCACGCATTCAGAAATTATCAAAACGGATAGATAATACGGTTTTTTTGGTAAAGGGTATAAGAACTGCAAAAAGGATTCAAATAATAAGAACATGAAATATTTTATTATTTGTATTAACATAGTGTAGAGTTTTGATGATAACTAACTAACAAATGAATTAAACTAATATTTAATATTTAAATCGTCGCGTAAATCTTTCTTTATTACTGTACAAGAACAGGCTAACATGCAAATTTCTTGTTTGAATAATGTGTCTCCATTTTTAATTCTATTCTACGAAAAAGAATACACGTGACTGAAAACCACGACTAGGGATTGAAATCGATTCAAGAATATCGATTTTAGAATCGATTAATCGCGATTAATCTTTTCCCGAGTTTTCGATTCTAAGATTCGAACCGATTCTCGATTTGAAGGCGGAATAAGCAAAAAGATTTTTGTATAACCAAATATAAATCATATGTCAAGGGGTCTTTTGATTATTTTAGTTTTGGGTGAGACGTAACGATCGAATTATTTCTTTTCCTTTCCAAAAAAAAAATTCTTGTACCTTTTCTATTCGGCTGGATTTTTTAAAATGTTATTTCATTAAATTTTTTTTAGTTCTTTCGGGTGTCGCACAAAATTTTGTACAATGTCTTGTAAGTGGCTTCGAATTAGTTCAATACTCAATTATTGTTTATTATATATGAACCTGGACGTATTACAGATAATCAGATGAAGCATTCACGTTCGAGTATGAATACGTCTACAGGTGAGAAATATTTTTGGTGTTTATTATTGCTTCCTCAACTAATTCCTCAAATATTTACTTATCTCTCGAAATTTACGATTGAGGACCGAGACATTTACTCCCTCGATAATGTGCAAGAATGTGAAGATTTAGAAGTAATAGTAGGGAGAGCTAGTGATCAACTTTGAATCTAAGAAGTGTATTATAGAAGAAAACTTTGAGTAAAAAAAGAACTTGTATATTAGTCCGCCATCATTAGCAAAGAAATTTCGCCATTTATCTTGCTATGTTCCCGAACTTTGCATTTATTCAATGTATTGCAAATAAATAAAAGATCTTTCACTGATTACTTTTCGCAATCGGTAAATGGGCAATTCATTTATTATGCAAGATAATTTTGAGGATTAATAATCTATAAATTATTGGATTATTGGATTGACAATGAAATTCCAGAGACATTCACGTCACAGCGGTCCCTAAGTTTACGAACAACAGTATGGGTGCACCAAACTCGGGATACTTTACAAAGAATATACAGGTGTAGAGGATGTGGGCATTTTGTGATAATTTATCAACCATGGATATCGTGCCTTTGACGCGCTTCATAAACTAAAATAGATGCTACACAAGTTTTCCAACTCGATTATAATTATCTGCGAAACAAAAACATCTTTAAATTCTCAGTGATGGAAATATTCCTAACTTAATCCATGTAAATTATGCAATAGAGATAGGTATCTTAACATTTCAATTTTCGGAATTCACCATATTGACATGTGAACATATTTTCCACATGATGTACCTGTAATCCTTTCTGGAGTTGGGTAACCAGTTTTTCTGGTCGAAGCATTTTGACTGGACCGGTACCTTATCCAGAAACAGTAGAACTTTTGCAACTGTTACCAAAGAAAATTTTGGTTCATATATATACACATATATATGGTATGAAGAGTGAATAGAAGTGGCCTTAAAAACAGAATGTGTCAGCGTAAGCTGCGTTTGCGAGAGGGAACCGAGGAAAAGGTGTGTACGTGTTCGCAGCAATTAAAAGCTGTCATTCGTTATGGTGAAAAGTTGGGAAATTTAAAAGTTAAAATAAAAAAATAATTAAAAAAATATATTTCGCACTTACTTCCGAAGTAAGCTTAAAAAAAAGTCAAATAAATCAATTATACCTATGCAAATTGAAATTTTTCAACCCGAAAGATGTCGATAAAAAAAACCGTCTTATAAAAAAATATATTGAAATAAAGTTCTTTATTTGATATCTTTTTTATTATCAATCTAGTCTAGTGTTGTTCTTTCATTTTGTATTTATAAACAATTTTAATATAAACAATTTTAAATGTAAGGGGTAGGTTTTTATTGAGTAAATTGAAGTAATGTTGATGCTAAATTTATTAAATAACTTCAAATTAATCAGTATTGCCTCAACGTCGGCGCTCTTCGCAATGTCAATATTTTAAACTAATAAATGCCAATCAATAAACTCTAATTCATTAAAACTACCTACGCAATTGCAATTACAAAAAATTGAATAATAAAATTAAAAAACGAAGTTACGAAAGTGAAAATATCGCGAAGGGATTAAAGGAAGGTTTTTAAGGTGTATGTATGTAAATACAAGGGCGAGCGTGGAATGTTAAGTTGTTTATGGATTTCCTTCTCGTATTTATAAAAAAAAAGAAATTATTAGAACAGCCTGGCATTGTCATTCACAACCTGGCACCTGACAAAATGATCTTCAAATGACTAACTGCAAATATCGAAAATGGAGTTTCCGGGCGAAATTATATTTAATGTAACTAGTTAGAATATTTTCAAAGTCTTACATTAAATCATGTACTGTCCACAAGGATCTTCATGCTGATAGGTATAAATATAGACATTTTAAATGGATTTGCAAAAATATTCGTTACGTTTTGTTTCTCCTAACAAATTACATTTTTAAAAAAGAAATGATGTTGTCAAAACAATTTTTTCCAAATTAAGTCAAAATTATATTGAAATTTTAGAAGATAATGAATATTATGATATTACAATTGAAATTGGGAAAGACCCGGACGTGAAAATATTTCGTGCGCACATGATTATTTTGTGTTACCGTTCTCCATTTTTTCGACGAAATTTGGATTCCAATAAGAAGAATGATGGCGTCTTAAATCACATCAAGTTGCCGAATATTTCACCAGAAATCTTTCCAATTATTTTAAAGTGAGATTATTAAATTATTTTCTTTGCATATTAAAAAATAATTTAAATATTAAAAATAATTCATTTTTTAATTTTTATTTTTTATTATTTTTTTTGATAATAAGATATATTTATGGAGGAATCATTTCATTAAATGAACTATGTACTTCAGAGGCATTAAAGATATTAACTGCTGCTGAAGAACTTCGTCTTCTAGAACTAGTTGAATATTTACAAGAATACCTAGTTGAAAATAAAGCCGAATTGATGGAACAACATTTTGAACTTTTTAATAGAATAAGTTTTCAATCCAATTCGTTTTTGAAACTTCAAAAATGTTGCACGGATTTTATTACCAAGTCCCCTGAAAAGATATTTAAATCGTTAGATTTTGCTTCGGTTCCTGAAAAATTATTAATTTCACTGATAAAGAGAAATGACTTACAGATGGAAGAAGTTGATGTTTGGGAATATGTAATAAGATGGGGGCTTGATAAAAATCCCACACTTATTCCAGATCCTATAACTTGGATGGATGATGATTTCAAGATGATGAAAAACACTTTACAACATTGTTTACCCTTAATTAGATATTTTAGTTTATCTTCTGATGAATTCATCCAAAAGGTTCATCCATACAAAAAGCTTTTGGAACATCAACTTTATGATGAATTGATAAATTCTTATTTGAATTCCAACAGCGAGCCAAGCAATAATATTTTACTCCCTAGGTGTAGAAATATCGATGGAATTATTGATACTACTATTGTTAATTTAAATATTGTTTCTATAATTTCAAAATGGATTGATAAAGTGAAAATTAAAAACAAATTTGCTCATGTAAGGGAACTTTATTTTCCGTATAAATTTGAATTATTATTACGAGGAAGCCGAGATGGATTCACCGATGACAAGTTTCATGAATTATGTGATAATAAAAATTTAACAGTTACATTTATTAAAATAAAAGATACGAAAGAAATTCTTGGAGGATATAATCCTACAATATGGAAGAAATTTAATGGTTTAGTTTCTGAATTTGATAAAACAAAAGATAGTTTTATATTTTCGTTTAAAAATAAGGATAAATTCAAAGATCCAATCTTAAGCCATGTAAGGAATGCAGATAATGCATTGCGTTATGGCTTTCTCTATGGTCCCTCATTTAGTAGTGATCTTTATTTAAAAGGTACCGTTTATAGAAAGGTTTATTGCAATCAGAGAGAATATGAAAAAAGTATAAGAGATACAAAACGTTCCTTATTAGAAGATTATGAAGTGTTTCAAATTGTTAAGAATTAGATTTAATTTCAAATCGATAAACTTATAATAAAATTATTGTTACTTCGAATTAGTGATAACAGTTGTTTGTAGGTTGTAAACAAAATCGTATCAGTAATATATAATTACAGGGTTTACAAAGCTGCTATCATACAGAGGGTGGACAAAAGTATCCGCACACTTTTTCACTCAATATAAAACTTAAAATATTTTTGCAATAACAATAA